GTGGGGGGGGGGGGGGTCCACTTCCAGGTGAGAAATTGTAATTACTGTCAATAAGTTTAATCAGTTTTGGGGGAGTGACATCAAGCTGGGTACTGATAATGAGCAATTACCTATGATAATCATTTTGATGGTGATGGAGATGGGGAGGGGCACATCTTCAAGGTGAGTACAGATACTTTGAAATACTTACCTTACCTGGAAAACCTGTTAATCAGGATAATGAATAACATAAAATCCGAAATGTTGACACATTCACTACCTGTGACATAGCATGCCTGAAAGATCATGGCAAGGTCAGCACACAGAATTTGACCATTAATTTAACAAATCTGGTCATTTTGGAGGTATTTTAATCCTTTCAGAATTTACTGGAGGATACCTACCCCAGTATTCGCTCGGTCACTGTCCGCAAGCTGTGTAAGATCCTGAGTACCTTCTGCGAGTTTATCCCGGCGGAAACCATCAAAAATCTCGTCACCAAGATGATGCAGGATCTTGTGTGGGATGCGTCGTCTGCTGACGTCAGAGCTAGTGTTATATTGGTACGTAAAGACATGTGTGAAGGCCATCTCTCTTCTACATCAAACTCACTTCAAGTAAAGATATACCAAAACAGTTCCTAAAGACACTTTAGGCAACTCTTTATATATCCGGTAAACCATTATTATTTACTACATAACAGGAAATGTTCACTCAGTCAAATTTTTCGCCCTTCAACAGTAAAATCCATTTTCGCAAAATGTTCAATTTGTCCTCCACATTTAATTTTGATGTGTATTATGTTGTTTAAAAATATTCACTGTAATTATAAATTTGCTCTCATAACAGAGGGCAAAAAATGACCAAAATTCAACTTCATCAAACATTTCCAGTAAACAGTAGTTTATCTGGGTTTTTTTTTATCCCATCCTTTTGCCTTTCAAATTCTATATTGAGTGAGTCTAAGTTAAATATAATCTGTTTTGAAAAGAGGGAAAAGCCATGATAAAATAACTGGAGGCATAATATAAAACAAGTGAAAATTTGCTGTTCCGAAACGTTGTGGTCAAGACAACTGTGCAAAGATTTGGGCTTACAAACTTAACACATGTACATGTATTATACACTCTGACAATAGAGCGAAAGATTTTAGTTATCTTTCATGTATCGACCAGTGATGTTATTTCTTTGTACAAAAGTGTATTAATCCTTTCACCACTGTAGACCATAATGGACTTCTCCAGATCAATGCATGGTAGGGTTAACTTAAGTTACATAGGGGTGAAAGGGATAATGAGAAATGTTTTGTCACTGAGGCTGGCTGACTGAGGATTATCACTGTTGTAGAGTATGATGACACTACTGGACAACCAGATGTTTATTCCCATGCTGAAACCGATCCTGCCCCAGCTTTGTAACCACATACATGACGTGTCGGAGAAGGTCCGGGTCGCCATGATAGAACTCCTCCTCAAGGTCAAGGGCATCAGAGCCATCAAGGTCAGTCAGCTGTGTAATCTAAGGTCAAGGTCATGTATGTATGGTTAAGTCTTACTAAACGATACTTCCTAATTGCGATGGCCAGAGGACCAGATTATTCCACCATTGAATAAACCATGGCGTTGGCTCTACCCTAAATAAAAAAAAATCAATTTTAATTCAGTAATCAAGCAAACACTGGATCAGGATATGTAAGCTTTGCTTCAATCTCTGATGGCTCATTAAGAATTGATAAACGAAACATGCAAGTCAATCCGCCCGTCTGCTGTGGGACACTCCAGCAACCAGGCTCTTCTTTCTTTCCCCCCAAAATGCTCAACTTGCCATGGGACAGTAATTTCTCTGGCAAAGAACTCGGTCATAACCAATTTTTATGCCAGGTGGCACTCGTATCCTTTTAATGCTGACCCACTTTAAAATAAAAGTGTAAATACTTATCGTTAATGGGCAGGCCTATCACTTACATCTGTGGTTTGTAACAGTGCATGGACATATAACAATGTCTTAATATAAAGATAAATCAGTATTATAAAGTTCAGATTATGTATCAAATGAAAGATTTTTATCAAATAATGTCCCAATTAACATGTTACAGAAAGAGCTGATAACATTTCGCATCATTTTATCACCAATACTAATTCCTGATGGTGAAATTTCCAGGCAGTTGTAGCAGAACAAAAAGTATAAAGATGAACTTGCAATAAGTCTTCGGCTGGAGAATGAGAGTATAGTTATGTAAATGTAAACAAACATTTTTCCGTACTCTATGATGAAAGCAATTAAATGATTGTGGGTCTGAATCCTTGTTGCGAAAATTGTTCTGTGTATGATCCCTCAAGGTGTAAAAAGAGATCTCCACTGTAGACCCATTCGATGGTTTGCAAGCCTGAAAATGTCTCTTAAAATTATGTACTTTTGTAGTACTGGGATATTGTCCCAATGGAGCACATACTGGCCCGTCTGGAGATCGACTCTCATCCGGTCGCCCGCCGCATCATGAAGCTGCTACAGAGCACATTCATGCCCCTGGACAAACCTAAGAGTGTCCAGCTTGACCGCTGTGTTGCCCTGATAGAGTCCAGCCGAGGAGCGGCCAGACAGTACTTCCACTACGCTCCAGCCAACCTGTCAGTGCAGGACACAGGTAAAGCCAATAACACAGATCTCTTTAAATTAAATTAACACAGATTGTAATTTCACGAATTTTACATGTGAAGGAACATTTTTGTGGTGTCCTAATATATTAATCGTGGCTCATTTTTACGCTTGTGATATTAGTTGTGGATCTTATTCTTTGTGCTTTCATTATTGACTACAATCGCAAAAAATATTATCCCCGTGGAAATATCCTGCTATATTGTATGTGGTAACGCCTGTGTAACTTGTGACTAATATCCTGTGGTCTGTCACAGCCACGTTTATGATATATAAACATATACTTACAGCCACGTTTATGATATATAAACATATATTTACAGCCATGTATATGATATATATACATATATTTACAGCCACGTATATGATATATAAACATATATTTACAGCCACGTTTATGATATATAAACATATTTACAGCCACGTACATGATATATAAACATATATTTACAGCCACATATATGTTATAAAAACATTTACAGCCACGTATATGATATATATACATATATTTACAGCCACAAATATGATATATCAACATATATTTACAGCCACGTATATTATATATATATATATATATTTACAGCCACGTATATGATATATAAACATATATTTACAGCCACGTATATGATATATAAACATATTTACAGCCACATATATGATATATAAACATATTTACAGCCACGTATATGATATAAACATATATTTACAGCCACGTATATGATATAAAAACATATATTTACAGCCACGTATATGATATCCATCGTCGCCTGTATCCTGAGATGTATAAAAGCAGAGAAATCAAAGCAGGATGGAGTTGATACTTCACAACAGGAAGGGGGAGATAACTCCAAGAGCCAGGATGCAGCAGCGGAAGAGGTATGAAATCAAACTGCCAAAATTCATCATTAAAAAGGAATTAATTTTGAATATCTGTTTTTTTTTATTGTTTTGGTCATAAAGCAGAATGATTTGTGAATTTCAAGGACCCTGTAAAGGGTCTTGTTCTTATGTATGAAATGGATATTTCATGCTCAGGAAAAGTGAAATATTTAATGATTAAAAAAAAAAGATACATGACATTATGGGCCTGCCCCCAGAGGAGCTACTGTTTCCATTTATGCAGCATTCAGTTCTCACATCAAAGGGTCCTCCAGGGTCGAAATTTGGATAAAAGCCCTTTACAAATACTGAAGAAGTAAGATCAAAATTTGCTTTTATTTTCCCATTGGGCCCTGCCTCTCTTCCTCTATGGGTCGACACCTTCCATTTATAATATATTGAGTCTTCTTGGGCTAAGGATTGTCATGACTAAATGCAGTCAAAATCTGCTCAGCTTTTCTTGTCAAGTAGTATTTTAATGAAAAATTGATGAGTATGCAACACCATGCATAAACTCACTTGCCTTCAGGCAGAGGAACAGATTGTCCAGAAGATTTTGTTTTTAGTTCATTCACTCTATCAATTTTCTTGTATAATTTAATGATTTGTGTAGAGAAACTTAATTGTTTGTAATGCGGTGATGTCGTTTAGCTTTTGTGTCTGGATCGTTCAATTTATTTAAACAAAAAATGAATATCAGAATTCTTAGGTTTTTAGTATATGAGAATGCGGACTGTAACTAGTGATATGACCACAATAAATACAAAAATATGGGATGTGATTAACAAAAAAACGAAACATAAACACCAGTGTTTCTGTAATATTTCTGAATTCAGCTTGACGAAGAGGAGGAGGAGGAGGAGGAGGAAGATGGCACCCTGACAATACATAATACAGAGGTGATGGCCGGACTGGTGGAGGCAGTGGTCATACTCTGGTCCGTCACCAATAACGAATTCAAAAAGGTAACTTCTACTTAAAAATTGCAATACTGTATACAGGGAATTGTCGCCCTTAGATAGTAAAATCCATTTTCCCCCAATATTAAATTTGCCCTTCACATTTAGTACTATGTTTATAATAGTGGTTACAGATGTCCACTGTAATGATAAATTTTTCTCCCACCCTTCACAGGTGTGTCTCCCATGCTAGCCGGGAAAGATCAGCTTGTCACCCCCTAGGGGGAAATAGCCTCGTGCCGATTAGCAAGCGTTCGATTGTGACGTCATTAAAATGTGTCACCGGTAATTGTGACGTCATCGAACGTGAATGACGAAATTCATACAACAAATGTGTTTTTGTTTACACTACTTAGTGTCGGTGGAGTTGTGACTGAAATAATATGATGGGAGAAAAACAATTCTCCCCTACCTTGAGGGTGTGATAGAGAAATCTCCAGGGGAGGATTCTATTAGTCATCATTACGAAGGGCAAAAAAGGCGAAAAATTAAACTGCAGAGAAAATTTCCAAGTATACAGTATGTACATGTGGTAAAGAAAATTTTGTATCCCCTGCCTATTTGTATTACAATATTACATCTTATTTATGTCCTTAAAGTCTGGGATATCAATGATACTTTACATGTTGTTTTCTTACTAGGGGTTTCCTTAAGGAGGTGTCACTGAGTTTTTTTTAAAATTGGAGTGTAACCTTACTGGCTTGCTTTGGGTTATACATGTGTACATGATAACATCCACAGAACTTGTAAAATAAACACCGATAAGATTTACATCAGTCTTTAGTAGAGAGGTTTGGTGTAGTTATAACGTTAACATGTATGTCTGTTCCTTCGGCTATCTTTGTATCAGTGGTATCAAGGGGATAATGAGATTAAATCAGAAATGTTTGTTTATTCCAGCGACAGAACCATGGGATTGAGAAGAACCTACAAACCAAGATCAGCATTGCTGTTACAGAAATGATGAAGTTCTTTGACGTGAGTATGATAAAGTATCCTAGTCATGTAACTTCTGTGTTTCCCTGAAGGATTGATTTAATTACAGCCATTTCTTGTGTATTGCCTGCGGGCTTTACTGTTTTTGGCTTGGAAAAATACCGACGACTGGGGGCTATCTGATGAAGCGGGCAAAGTGACCAAACGTTTCCAAGAAACCCATAAAAAGTGCAAGCTATGTGATACCTTACAAATGCTAAACCATAAACATCTTGATTATAAACAATAACATTACATAATTATAGAAATTCTCAAGTTTTATCATTGAACGTATGCGTGAAAAGTTGGTTCATATTACGGGTACTGTGTTATACCGTCTATGTGGAGTAGTAGGAGTCGCCATGCCTGTTTACATCAGGATAGTGAATGGCTCTATTAGTATATCAAGGATTAGAAGTTAAAAAACAGAAAACCCAAGTTAAATGTGTATCTCATTCCTAAGCATCTGGTATTCGTTCTGTATATTGGTTTTTATGTAGCAGAATTTATTTCAAAACTTGATATTTTGAGGGGTGCAGGCAACATAAAGGAGTTGGCAATATGTGAGAAATTACAATAAGGATTGATACAAACTACTGATATGGAAATCCGTTGCAACAACACAAACTGAAATATGTTGAGTTGTTGATTTGAGACTATTTGTTTTGTAGGACCCTCAAGTGTGTGCTGCTCTGATAAACCTGGCCGGCTTCGTTCCTTACAACTCTGTTCCCACCATCAGGTATCACTACTACAGATATCTAGTTGTACAATAAGCTTTAAGACACAGAATAACCCCTTTTCTCTATGACCAGTCATCATGTCCTCTCATATTCTAGCCATTTTCACTTGCAAGGGATGTGGCTTGATAGTAAAAGGTATTACTATATTCTGTTACAGATCTTCATGTCTGTATATCTGTTAGAGGCTTACATTATGTGTGTGTCCATTGTCTGTTACAGCCGTATATGTCTGTCCATCATCTGTTACAGCTGTACATGTCTGTCCATCATCTGTTACAGTGTAAATATCTGTGTGATATTCGTTACAGCCAAACTTGTCTGTCTATCATCTGTTACTAATGTTTGTGTCAGTCCAACAGCTGTCCATGTCTGTCCGGCATCGATAACAGTGTATATGCCTGTGTTTTGTTACAGCCGTATGTGTCTATCCAAACTGAAGAAGATGCCGGTGGACAGTGTGGCGGAGGATTACAACTGTTACCTGGATGCCCTGTGTAAGTGGGACAAGGTGGTGGATATTCTGGACCTAGTGGACGAGTGGCTGACCGAGGGTCTACAACAGGGTCACTCACAGACACCTACTGTCAAGGTTTGTTGGGAGGATTTTATAGCTGAGTGAGGCTCCCTCACTGACACTGTAGGCATGTGTTTGTGAAACAACGTAAAGATACGTCATCATGACAAGTGTCAGAAGGACTATATGTAAAGATACGTCATCATGACAAGTGTCAGAAGGACTATATGTAAAGATAAGTCATCATGACAAGTGTCAGAGGGACTTCATGTAAAGATACGTCATCATGACAAGTGTCAGAGGGACTATATGTAAAGATACGTCATCATGACAAGTGTCAGAGGGACTTCATGTAAAGATACGTCATCATGACAAGTGTCAGAGGGACTATATGTAAAGATACGTCATCATGACAAGTGTCAGAGGGACTATATGTAAAGATACGTCATCATGACAAGTGTCAGAGGGACTTCATGTAAAGATACGTCATCATGACAAGTGTCAGAGGGACTATATGTAAAGATACGTCATCATGACAAGTGTCAGAGGGACTATATGTAAAGATACGTCATCATGACAAGTGTCAGAGGGACTATATGTAAAGATACGTCATCATGACAAGTGTCAGAGGGACTATATGTAAAGATACGTCATCATGACAAGTGTCAGAGGGACTATATGTAAAGATACGTCATCATGACAAGTGTCAGAGGGACTATATGTAAAGATACGTCATCATGACAAGTGTCAGAGGGACTATATGTAAAGATACGTCATCATGACAAGTGTCAGAGGGACTATATGTAAGAAACATCATCATGACAAGTGTCAGAGGGACTATATGCAAAGATACGTCATCATGACAAGTGTCAGAGGGACTATATGTAAAGATCCGTCATCATGACAAGTGTCAGAGGGACTATATGTAAGAAACACCATCATGACAAGTGTCAGAGGGACTATATGCAATGATACGTCATCATGACAAGTGTCAGAGGGACTTCATGTAAAGATACGTCATCATGACAAGTGTCAGAGGGACTATATGTAAGAAACACCATCATGACAAGTGTCAGAGGGACTATATGCAAAGATACGTCTTCATGACAAGTGTCAGAGGGACTATATGTAAGAAACACCATCATGACAAGTGTCAGAGGGACTATATGCAAAGATACGTCTTCATGACAAGTGTCAGAGGGACTATATGTAAAGATCCGTCATCATGACAAGTGTCAGAGGGACTATATGCAATGATACGTCATCATGACAAGTGTCAGAGGGACTTTATGTAAAGATACGTCATCATGACAAGTGTCAGAGGGACTATATGTCAAGATACGTCATCATGACAAGTGTCGGATGGACTATATGTAAAGATACGTCATCATGACATGTGTCAGAGGGACTATATGTAAAGAAGAGAAATAAGATTCTGATCTATTCAAATAACAGGGCATAGGGAGGCACTCATTACCTAGACCCTAAAATTTTCAAGTAGTTTACAATAGTCTCCTCTTATATTCATGACTGTGATAGGCAATGTTGTCATCCCTTGTGACCATTGGCAGAGGATATATAAAAAGAATGGATCTGTCTGTCTGTGCAGATGGTATTAAGGCAGATTTTTTTGTCCGTATCTGGGTATATGTTAAATATCAATTTACCTTACATATATACAATGCTCAATAAAAGCATGTCGCTGATACAGAAGTGTCAAACTGACTCGGATCCAATTGCATTCACAGCCCTATGAATGCAATTCTTCTTGCAGTGTTCAAATAGGGACTTGAAGTTGAAATGTAAATATAGCATCATTAAATTGTAAATGCTGTTATGTAACTTTCAGAGTTGTATACTATGCTATATTGTAACTTGGGCATCTGGGCATCTTATCCTAACTTTTCCGCTTAGCAGGGGATATCAATATTGCGCCATCTTCATTTTCACCTCTTCAGAAGTACACTGAGGAGGCATCGATAAAGAAAGCTTATTTAATTTTTAGTACAGATACAACCGTTATATGTGAATTACTGAGAACAGTAATAAAACACAAATACAGACCTCTGTATAGAATTAATGTTTCTTCTTTAGGTTGGTAAGACGAATCGGAAGAGTGTTGGGTTTGTGGTACCACACGAGCCAGCGCCCATACTCGGGATAGACTACCTGACCTACATGTTACGTCACCCGATATGTCGACCCATCCTCACGAGTCACGAAAACGAACTCACGCAGCTCCAAACTAAACTCAAGACTGTCATGGTACGTATAATAAAGTATACTGTTTTACTACGAAATGAAAGTCTGGATATACCCAGAAAATGATCAATATAAACCTCCCAAGTAATGTACCAAAACAAAAATTGCCAAAATGAGTTATTCGTGAAAGCATGCAAAATTATATGGATGGTTTTATCATGAAATGCTTTTATTGCTATGGAAGCGACTTGTGAACAAATTTTGAGTGGTCATATTGAACTAGTGTCTTCGATACACAGTGTATATATGTTCATTGTATCTATACTCATTTGACCAGAGTCACTGAGGGAGGTAAGTGTTATAAACCGTCATCGCTAAGGGAGGTAATTGTTATATACTGTCGTCACTAAGGGAGGTAATTATTGTAAACCATTGTCGCTAAGGGAGGTAATTGTTATAAACTGTCGTAACTTAGGGAGGTAAAATGTTATAAATGAGTCGTCGCTAAGGGAGGTAAAATGTTATAAAAGAGTTGTCATCAAGGGAGGTAATTGTTGTAAACCGTCATCGTTAAGGGAGGTAAAATGTAATAAATGAGTTGTCGCTAAGGGAGATTAAACATTATAAACTGTACACAATCATTGCTAAAGAATGTTTTACTTTGTCAACAGAAGTGTGTTGAGAAGAACCTGAGATCCGACACCGAACCCGTAAATGACGACCTGTTAACTGCCAGCTTTGGTCTCTACTGTAAACTCGCGGGCATTCTCCATCAGTCAGTAAGTCTGTACTCCACACACTACCAGCTTTAGTCTCTACTGTAAACTCGCGGGTATTCTCCATCAGTCAGTAAGTCAGTACTGTACACACTGCCAGCTTTGGTCTCTACTGTAAACTCGCGGGCATTCTCCATCAGTCATTAAGTCTGTACTCTACACACTACCAGCTTTGGTCTCTACTGTAAACTCGCGGGCATTCTCCATCAGTCAGTAAGTCTGTACTCTACACACTACCAGCTTTAGTCTCTACTGTTAACTTGCGGGCATTCTCCAATAGTCAGTAAGCCTGTATTCTACATACAGGCTACTGACCTTAACTTTTTATTCTAAAATATAGGCATTGGTATGTTTACATCAGACTAGACCAACAGGAACAGATCTTAATGTTAGGATGGATGGTTTTAATCGAAATACATTGTCAGAGAGGATTTGAAGTGCTTAACAATGCTGATCAGTGTCTTTGTCTGAGAGGATTTGACTTAACAATGCTGATCAGTGTCTTTGTCTGAGAGGATTTGACTTAACAATGCTGATCAGTGTCTTTGAAAGTTTGATTTGTTCTTGGAACACAAATGCTTTATTGAGAATGAATGCAGGTCATAAAAAGTTGGAAGTTCTAAGTTTGATTAAGGTTTGAAGAACAAATGTTACGGTCACATGTACGGGATCAAATAAAGTGTCTTCATTAAAATGTCAGTGTTTAGGATTTTACAAGGCTACTTGAGTAAATAAGCGGTCTTCTCTGTGTAAATAAAACAAAACAGTTATATCTTAACTTCCCAGTTAACATGTGCATTTAGACACTGAGAGGGTCATGACAGTAGAATCTGTTGAGCATTTAGGCACTGAGAGGGTCATGACAGTAGAATCTGTTGAGCATTTAGGCACTGAGAGGGTCATGACAGTAGAATCTGTTGAGCATTTAGGCACTGAGAGGGTCATGACAGTAGAATCTGTTGAGCATTTAGGCACTGAGAGGGTCATGACAGTAGAATCTGTTGAGCATTTAGGCACTGAGAGGGTCATGACAGTAGAATCTGTTGAGCATTTAGGCACTGAGAGGGTCATGACAGTAGAATCTGTTGAGCATTTAGGCACTGAGAGGGTCATGACAGTAGAATCTGTTGAGCATTTAGGCACTGAGAGGGTCATGACAGTAGAATCTGTTGAGCATTTAGGCACTGAGAGGGTCATGACAGTAGAATCTGTTGAGCATTTAGGCACTGAGAGGGTCATGACAGTAGAATCTGTTGTAGCCCACCTATAATTATACAGTTTATATAGTGCGTTATCCACTGTGCCACCCCCGACCACACTAATAGGGCTACTCCAGTCACACCATCCTAAAATGGCTCACGTTAAGAGATAATGATTAATTTAGATGGGAACATCCGTCCTTGTACTAGGTGCTAGACTATCTTTTTGTTTAGCTTTAAAATATGAACCTTAATTTGTTCTTTTTTCTCTCCATACAGAATACAAAAAACGATGCGACTTCAACATTTGAGGAGTTATATTCTTGGGCAGATGTACATGTGTTACCCAGCATTAGCCAGCTGGACAAACGGGCAGACATGACGTCCAGGAAACGTACATTGTTTACCTTGACGGATATAACTATCCTTCCCAGCCCTGATACGCAGGACAAACAGACAGACTTGTCCAGGAAGCGAACATCACAACAGGCTGGACAGAATTCCGGAACATTGGCAACATCCATTGTCGAGATGATTCTGGCTGCCTGGGGTGACCTCCTCCTCATAGGCATAGGAGATACAAGCTTTGCTGTCCTGTTGGCCGACTTCTGTGTTAGTTGTCTACAGAGAGGTAACGTAGACTTCCCCAACCGCCAATAGTTGCTTATAAGTCAATTTTTTGTAATTATTTCTTTGTCTGTAATGATCGTTTTACTTTTGTTAAGATATGTTTTATGTATAAATTATATAGTGGCATGTTTTACTTCAGTTCCAAACTTTGGAGTCTTGACATTACAAAAAGTATGGTAACATTGTACATCCATTTTTTATGCCATCAAAATTCATTTATAAGGTCTTGACTTGCAAAATGCTCCCAACAAGTTACTAACTTGATCGGTGTAACCAATACCTTACCTGTTTGCACAGTCCTGTCAACGAAAGGAAAACTAGAGTGGTTTAACATAAGAATATATATTTCCCTGGAGGTTTCGTGTCATATTCTTTGTTAACTTTTGTACGAGATGCAATAACGAAGAACTAAATTTTCTGTTTTACAGACGAGTGTCTGTCCACCTTGTCCGCTGTCATGAACTGTTTGTGTAGTGTCACAGCTCATATCCTACTGCAAGGCAAGAGGTCTGATGGTGACAGCATCGCAGCCTACCTCGGTAAAGTGTTCATAGCCATAGCGACCGCCCTGCTGAAGGACAAAGATCAGGTCTCTAAGGTCTGTGGTTGTTTCTCTTCCTTGCTTATATTGGTTTCCAACACGTAGGGCCTGTTCATTTATGCAGAACACCGGTACTTCCGTTTTTTAAAGGTAGCATTTTTGGTTATAAATCCTGGGGGACCTGCAAAAGTTGATGCAGGCCTTGCGAGGCTTTGTCAAGACTCGCCTGAAAGCAGCATCAGATTACTGGGTCCAACCTTATTTCATAAATTAACGACTCTGGTCCAACCAATTCAACCATTTGGATCGCGATAAACGAAAACGACCTACATCTCCAAATGGTTTATTATTTTGATCAAGGTTGGTATGAAATGAGGTTCATTTAATGTTAGTGAAGGAGGAGGGTTACCTGTTTATTCACAAAATGTCACACATATTTTTCATTATTTTAGGAAAATATATTTCAGACATGAGCATTCGTTCAATCGCAGCATACTTTCTTCTGAAGTTCAATGCACCAAGAAAATGTCCTCAATACATAAAACACATACAATACAATAGACCATGTGTGTGCTTGTATTATTAAACCTCTCCCATCAATGTACCGGTAACATTTGTGGAATGAGGGTACCCACATTTAATTTTGTATGTATTTGAAGATTTGCTGACGAATGAATAAAAACAACTATTTAACCTCTATATCTACTTAAACATGTTAAACTCTTGGTCAGAATGTTCCGATGAACTTACTGCGAAGGTGACTTGAAATAGTGTTTTAATCTGTTAAATGTTTAATCTGTTTAATGTAATGTTTAATCTGTTAAATGTTTAATCTGTTAATCTGTTAAATGTTTAATCTGTTAAATGTAATGTTTAATCTGTTAAATGTTTAATCTGTTAAATGCTGATTTCATGTGTTGGCAAGCGAGGTTGATAGATTGGTGGATTTGATGGATTGAAATTATCATCTGGCAAATCATAAAACATGAAAAAAGCAAAAATACAAAAAATAAAAATCTTGATCAAACCCTATTTGATCATGTATTCGTATCGGTGATTGATAGAAATTGTTACATAGTGCATAGATGAATGAAGAGTCTGCAATGAATTTCGATAACATCAGAGTTGTCGTTTTAAATTTAAATCTATTCTCCTATTCGGTTTGACAGTTATTACCAGGGGTGCGGAATCATTTGATGGAAATCTTCACACTTGTTTACGGAAGTCCGTTGATGGATGAAACTACACTACAGGAAATCATGGCCACAGTTATTGGGGCCTTGTTGGGGGAACTGGTCCACACAAGTCAGCAGGTAAATATTGGGGCCTTGTTGGGGGAACTGGTCCACACAAGTCAGCAGGTAAATATTGGGGCCTTGTTGGGGGAACTGGTCCACACAAGTCAGCAGGTAGATATTGGGGCCTTGTTGGGGGAACTTGTCTGCACAAGTCAGCAGGTAAAAATTGGGGGGCCCTAAAGGGAAATGATCCACACAAGTCTGCAGTTTTATCTGAAATCTTGTACAGTTTCTGTACTGTAGAGCAATATGTGTATACAGGAATATCATGACACTCCTAAAATAAATATGATTTATTCTTGATAATTTTATGGAAAAATAACATCAATATATTTTAATCTACAGCAAAAAACCATATTTATCAAAAGTTAAAGTCAATGTAAATAATGTGTTCTGTCATGAGAATCTATCATACTATACCATACTTAACTGCCACTTCAATTTCAGTTTGATTTGGAAGAAATCAGTGGTGATCTTACACAGTTACCTCCCTTGTCTCGCTGGCTGTGTGATTCAGTATGCAGGAAAAACTACATAGCAAAGTATGTACTAGATTTGACTGTCATTGTCAAGGTCTGATGTTTACAACCTGACCCCGTAGTTTGTTTATAAAACATTTGGGCTTCATCAGTGAAGTTGAGTCAGCTTTGACATACTAATATTCCTTGTTTAATTCTCACCAAAGCCATTACTTTGTTAGTGAAATTAAATTATTTACAGAAAATAAAAATATTTTAGTGTCTATATTAAAAATAATACATAGACATGAATGATGATAATATTCTGTAAATTTGTAACAGTTCTGATGGAGTTAGTGAGGACTCTTGGTACTACGGGGAATAAAAAACAGACAGAGGTGTCAGACTTTTCCCTTCTTTTGAAAATATTAACTTTTGAGGATCACTGTGTTGTGTTTACAGGCACTTCATTGGGGAGTTAGGCAAGTGTTTGGAGTCGGGGGCTGTGGATGACCTACACACCCTTCACGGTGCCATCCACATGTTGGGGTCCATTGCCAAATGTAAGTGTATGGATTATGCCTTGGCTGCACACACGGATAGGATTTTTGTTAGACATTGTTGGTTTAGTCTAGATAGTAAAAAAAAAAAAAAATATCTTGAGTGGTTTTATAAAGTTCCAGTGAAATCATGTATTAGTGGACAGTTTTGTTCCACCTATTATGCAAATCCTTAAATATCGTATTTTAGAAAGACAGTGTAGATATTAATGATAATTTTAGATATAATTTTTCTATACTTTCCTCGACTGCAATGATATTTTTCTGTTTATTGAAATAAATAATTTTAGGGAAGAGGGGATGATATTCAATACTTGTGACAACATAGCTCAAGTCCTAAAAGGGGAGACACAAATATCTAGTGTACCTAAATAAATTACTGAGCTAAACCGAAATGAAATGCTGTCAAAAATAACAGTTTTGATGTTTCTTCTCGTCAGGCAATTGATGAGAACCTTTCAGTGCTTCATTTGTGAATTTCCGAAAATATGTTTTTAAGATAAACCCAAGATACCGGGAATGAAGGAGTGTTGGATCGCAGTCCAGAGTCAGGCTGATAAAATCAAAAGTGAACAACACACGCAGGAGGAGGAGGAGGAGGATGTGAGAGACAAGTAAGTACATGTATCAGTTATTACAGATATTGTGAAATATTTGTGTATTTGTTTGGAAAGGGGAAGGAAGACGGGGGGTGAGGGAGAGATAGCTCAGAATTGCAGCAACATTAGTTAGAGTGAAAAGTTATATACATGCCTCCATCGTTAGGGCATAGGTGACTTAGGGCATAGGTGACTTAGGGCATAAGTGACTTAGGGCATAGGTGACTTAGGGGTTAGGTGACTTAGGGCATAGGAGACTTAGAGCATAGGTGACTTAGGGCTTAGGCGACTTAGGGCATAGGTGACTTAGGGGTTAGGTGACTTAGGGCATAGGTGACTTTGGAATTAGGTGACTTAGGGCATAGGTGACTCAGGGGTTAGGGGACTCAGGGCATAGGAGACTTAGAGCATAGGTGACTTAGGGCATAGGTGAATTAGGGCTTAGGTGACTAAGGACATAGGTGACTAAGGGCTTAGGTGCCTTAGGGCATAGGTGACTTAGGGCAAAAGTGACTTAGGGCATAGGTGACTTTGGGATTAGGTGACTTAGGGCGTAGGTGACTTAGGGCATAGGTGACTTTGGGCTTAGGGGACTTAGGGCATAGGTGCCTTAGGGCTTAGGTGACTAAGGGCTTAGATGACTTAGGGCATAGGAGACTTGGGACATAGGTGACTTAGGGCATAGGTGACCACGGGCTTGGGTAACTTAGGGCATAGGTGACTTAGGGCGTAGGTGACTTAGGGCATAGGTGACTCTGGGGATCGGTGACTCAGGGCATAGGTGACTTAGAGCATAGGTGACTTAGGGATTAGGTGACTTAGGGCATAGGTGACTTTAGGCTTAGGTGACTTAGGGCATAGTTGACTTAGGGCTTAGGTGACTTAGGGCATAGGTCACTTAGGGCATAGGTGACTAAGGGCTTGGGTAACTTAGGGCATAGGTGACTTAGGGCCTAGGTGACTTAGGGCATAAGTGACTTAGGGCATAGGTGACTTTGGGCTTAGGTGACTTAGGGCATAGGTTACTTAGGGCTTAGGTGACTTAGGGCTTAGGTGACGTAGGGCATAGGTGACTTAGGGCATAGGTTACTTAGGGCTTAGGTGACTTAGGGCTTAGGTGACGTAGGGCATAGGTGACTTAGGGCATAGGTTACTTAGGGCTTAGGTGACTTAGGGCTTAGGTGACGTAGGGCATAGGTGACTTAGGGCATAGGGGACTTTGGGATTAGGTGACTTAGGGAATAGGTGACTTAGGGCAAAAGTGACTTAGGGCATAGGTGACTTCGGGATTAGGTGACTTAGGGCATAGGGGACTTAGGGCTTAGGTGACTTTGGGCATAGGTGACTTAGGGCATAGGGGACTTAGGGCTTAGGTGACTTTGGGCATAGGTGACTTAGGGCATAGGTTACTTAGGGCTTAGGTGACTTAGGGCATAAGCGACTTAGGGCATAGGTGACTTTGGGCTTAGGTGACTTAGGGCATAGGTGACTCAGGGGTTAGGTGACTCAGGGCATAGGTGACTTAGAGCATAGGTGACTTAGGGCTTAGGTGACTTAGGGCATAGGTGACTTAGGGCATAGGTGACTTAGGGCATAGTTGACTTAGGGCTTAGGTGACTTAGGGCTTAGATGACTTAGGGCATAGGTGACTTGGGACATAGGTGACTTAGGGCATAGGTGAATTAGGGCTTAGGTGACTAAGGACATAGGTGACTAAGGGCTTAGGTGACTTAATATGTTACAATGTTGACAATGTAAGCCCCCTATAGTAAGTGAACATACCCAATATATTAACCAGGTGTTCATTACAATGACAATCTTTAACATCTTTTATGGACGAAAGCGATCGATGAAGCAGTTTCACTAAACGTGCTGTTTTCATTAATTACACCACAGAAAGAAGTGATCAAAAATCAAAAAACTATTGTGTCGTCATTTCTTATGTTTTTAGGAAAAATAAAAATATGTTTCATGCTAGAATGTGTCATGAAAATGGTGTGAACCTGTCAAATATTGCAATGTTTCTTTTCCCCATCAACATGTTGGTGTTTGGGGTAAAGAGCTGTATATGTGTGGGGTGTAGGATGATGGCTTAGGGAATGTAGAACTCACCCAAAATTAGTTTAAACAAAGATTCAGTCTAGCTTCAGTTTGAACATTTTCTATTTCACGAAAAAAGAAATAAAGAAACCATCAGAAAGTTACATTTCTCATTACTAACTCTGATAATAGTTATAAAATCAATACAGTTGTTCTCATGTGTTGTACATTTGTTTTCCAGAGAATTATTGCAGTCTCTGACAACAAAACTACAAGAATGTCAGCAGGCGCTGGGACTGGCATCCTAAACCAAACCTACAGACAGTCTACAAATGCCAGGCCTGGCAACGTAACAGATATACAGGCAAGAAACGCTGCTACCAACAAAACAAAACTACAAGAATGTCAGCAGGCGCTGGGACTGGCATCTTAAACAAAACCTATTGACAGTCTACAAATGCCAGGCCTGGCAACGTAACAGATATACAGGCAAGAAACGCTGCTACCAACTAAACAAAACTACAAGAATGTCGGCAGGCGCTGGGACTGGCATCTTAAACCAAACCTATTGACAGTCTACAAATGCCAGGCCTGGCAACGTAACAGATATACAGGCAAGAAACGCTGCTACCAACAAAACAAAACTACAAGAATGTCGGCAGGCGCTGGGACTGGCATCTTAAACCAAACCTACAGACAGTCTACAAATGCCAGGCCTGGCAACGTAACAGATATACAGGCAAGAAACGCAGCGACCAACAATAACTAAAGCATACTTCAGTCAGCAAATGCTGGGATTTGCATCGAAGACAACACTTTCACTTCACTGAGACAAGAATTACAGATGTGTCAAAATGTTAGGTGAATACAGTGAACCACATGGTCAACAATTTAACCGTGATTTATTATGAGCATGTGTAGTTAAGTAAAATTTATAATAACTTTAAGGTAGTTTCTATATCATATTCAAGAATGATTGCAGACAGAAGCACTGCAAAATTAATAAAATTTTGGCCATTTCTGGTTGACAAAGTAATGTCAGCGTACACACGTTTTTGTGCAATAGACACCTAAGATTTTATACAATAAATCCTTACATATGTATTTCCTTTTCTTTTTAATTCTGATTTTTTCACCTCAGGACAAGAGGATAGAAACGCTGGAATTAAAAAAAAAAACATTACTTCACGATCAATGTAACTGAGGGGATAAAACTGGTGGGCTCTGCCTGTCTATGAGCAACTGTTTTAGGAGCATATATCATAAACTGTTAACTTTAATGTTCCAATTTCTCGCGAGTCAATCAGATAGTAGACGACTTTCTTTGGTATTTTTACACTTGCAACATGGTGGAAGGTCTTTATGGCTACCTCTCTGTGTTGATCTGTCCATTTCCTTCTGCGAGACATCTTCAATAGACTTGATGTTTGGCCCTAATGCTCCTACACATTCATCAAAATTAATAACCTGGAGTACCACACAGTAAATCAATGTAGGTCTCTGACATTTATATTTAACCAACTTTAAGTTTGGGTGGTTAGCCCATTACTCCAGTATTGATCAAACTCAATATATTTAGACCATGGTCTGTGTGTATACAAATACTTAAATCAACACCCAACAAAAGGGTTGACTTAACGACTATAGATCAACAAGAGAAGGCTCCAAATACAGTTTGCAAGTTTAAACAGATTTGGAAAAATTCTTCAACCTTGTGACAGCCTCTGTAAATATGTGCAGTCAATAAAATTGGTTGAATTATTGATATTCTGTAACTAAAATTTCCTGTTGCAACCACACAATAACTTAATTGAAAGAAAACAAACACAGAAATATTCTTTTTATCTTTTTTATTTATTTATTTTTTCTTCTTTTTCTTCTTCTTCACCTGTATCAACTTCAACAAAGTTTGGTAACAATTTTAATCCTACAGCTTGCCCTCTGGTTCAGAAAGATTTTCACAAGTGTACAGCTATCAATTTTTTCCGAAAATTTATAAAAGCAGAGAACATTGACGAGTATTAAATTGTCTTCGCTCAAATCTATTTCACGATTTGAATACATTCTATACATTCCAAATTCTCGTACTCCTATTTTTTCACATCACAAAAACTTTTAATAAATTGCCATATTGACCTTAAATGTACATAAAATTCTGAGCACACTCACTTTCTCCATAATTTTTACAGCCGATACTTAATTTATTTTGCATGAAGCCATACGTCTACTGTCACAACACTTTATCGTTTTGTCCATCGTCTAAACATAAAAAACATGTCTACACATTCATATTTATCTATATTCAATGTCACCCATTAATTTTAAAGTTTACTTACAAAACAAATCTTACAATTTCCCATTTAATTTTGCTAACATGATATTGTAAAAAGTTTATGAACAGCAAGTGTAAAAATAATGTTTGAAAAAATGGTGGCATATCGTGGAAAATAAGGCATGGCAAATGTAAACAACTGTTTATGTACAACACTCAATAACCAGGTTTCTGTACAAAGTAAATGCAATTGACTAGTTCCCATGATAAATGATGATATTTTTGTGTACATGTACATGTTGATTGTTTTTGGTGATGAAAATGTCCGCATACTCTCCATGTGTAGAAAGAAACCTGGTTATATGTTAATGTCAAAATTCTCAGTCCTCGCAAGCTTATTGTAAATTATTCTCATCATTATTATCCAACCCTCCCCATATGAACTCCTTCCCATTCCCCCCTCCCATTCTATATCAAACAAATCCCCAATTTAATATTTCCAAGTCAATAAAATAATCTGATTTTTTTTTTAATATTCTACATCGAACTGAAATTTTCGGGGTAATTTCTACATCAAGATTTCTTGATCTTAAGTTTAAAAGGCTAAATATCATTTTCCCACCCAGTACAAAATAAACGTTAATGAAAGGTCCATCTTAGTCCTTACAAGTCTTCGTCCTCTCTCACACATTCACACCCAAGACGTTTGTTCATGCAATAAACAATGTCAGTCATTTTATCTAGGATAACTTAAAGAATTTGGATACTGTAAAACCTTGTTATAACGCGATTGTTTGTCCAGAATTTTGTTCTTAATCGAGGTCGGTACTAAAATGATGGATATGTACCAAGAAATTATAAAGAAAGGAATATTGAAATATGCAATCTATATTAAAAAGGTGGCATTATATCAAGGTTTCACTGTACAAGATTTCATGGATTCAATCTAAATTCAAAAAAAAAATCATACCACAGAATTCACCAATAAAACAGATTTCCTGACTGACATTGATTACTACTTTAAAACATCTGCATAGATAAGAAAAAAATAACAGTAAGTTGTGCCATTTATCTCGACAAAAATACACTTCAGTTGGGTACCGCTAATAATATTAGCACTATTACTGCGTTGTTTGATAACATTCCTTAAAAAACTTTAAGACATTTTCTTAACGTTATGATTTCTTGTAAAATTTACAACTAATATACACAACCCATACCTTTCCAAATATATTTAGATAATTAAATCAGACAAAAAATATCTGGGCACTGAACCATTTAAATACCTAACAATTAAAAATACCCTTTCAATAAAATTTCATTAAAAAATAAATTATTGCAACTTGATAGCTTTGTCTTTATGAACGAATGTTTTTTTACCGAAATGAAATGACTATGTAGTTTTTAACTTAAAATGGAAAATAAATAAATGGAAACAAAATTAACAAGTTTGCCCTCGCCATGGTTTAAACATATGGACATGGGAGGGCAGTGCTACACCTCTGTGAGCACACGTATAATATATATCATAGACTTGCTCGTAAGACGCATAACCCCGGACATCTGATGATAATTAAAAAACACTTGCTCCTGAGGTTAATCAAAATCAAAAACAGTTTTCACTGTTTATGACGCATAATACAAAATATTTTCAATAAAAACATAATAAAAATGAATTGATAAGATGACATTCAAATCGACAAACAAAAACATATATATGCTGTCAGATTTGTGATCCATTTTTTTTGTATTTTATATTTTAATATTTTTTTGTACATTTTACTGTACAAATTTATTGTTAATAATATAGAATACATATCATAATTGTGACAATGAGAGTATGCAAATCATGTATACAAAAAGCCTAAGTAAAACAAATCTTAACATACAAAGAAAGTTCTCATTGTCACGATGACTGGGAGATTACTAAATGCCAGTCTTTTCAGTAAATTGTCAGTTCCTTTACAGCCGCAAAGGAAATTTACTTTCCTGCCAATTTGCTGATCAGAGTAGCTTTCATCTCTTTTGCCATCTGTTCCATTTCTTCAATGCGTTCACGGAGCTTGGCGTTATCGACGATCAGTCGTTCAGCCTCCCCTTCCATATTCGCATACTTCTGTTTACGAATTTCTCGGGATCTCCTAGACGCGATGTTATTCTTTACTCTCCTCTCCCGATATTTTTGAACGGGGGCAACCTTCGCCTTAGGTTCTTCAAAGACATCATCGTCCTCAGTAGCAGACGATGTACGAGATTTCTTAGAGACGTAGTCATGATCTATGCTGGCTGAAAATGACCCCATCTCATCAGATAGTACATCACCATGCTTGCGCTTCTGAGATTTTGTCTTGACAGGCTCATCAATTACTTCAGGCTCAGGCTCATCAATTACTTCAGGCTCCGGTTTCAATGAAACCTCTGGTTTACCCAAGTTGGAATCCTCCTGTAAAAATAAATTAAGATTGAAATATAAATTCCGTGTCACTTACTATATGAAACACAATTTGTTAAATGGATACAATTGTAGTTTGATATTACAGCATTGAAACGCGAGATTTAACAGATTGGATAACACACTTACCAGCTGGAGGAATCCTGTGAGGTCCATGAAGCTGTTGAGGTACTCGTCATCGACATCATCAGAGAAGGAAGTGAGGACGTCCATGATGTCTCCACCCATTTTATCCAAACTAGGTTCACCCCCCACTTCATCAACAAAATCAGTGTTCAGGTCAAAGGTCGTGGCAGCTGGATCAGGTTTGATTCCAGCCAGCTCTGTAACATACACAAATTAAAAGAAATATTGAGATTTGTGTTCTTTTTCAACAGTATATATATCTTTATAAATCGTCACCTGAATATATTTATCATTTCATACACTACACCATTTTTCATCTAGTCATTATACCTATTTATAAATATTGCATCTATTTTTAGATATTAAATATACTGTATAAAATGCAAATGCATTGACATTTTGTTAAATTAAGTATTTATAACGGGGTCAATTAAATTGAAACATCCCTGCTTTCAACTTATCTGATTTCCTTGCAAAAGATCAACACATCACAATTTAATATTATTTACTACTTATATAATCCTATATACACATTCAAATTTGTAATATTTTCTGTCAATCAATAACGAATGATTTATTTATAGATCGATTTTCACGGCTCGTCACTAAATACCCTTTCCGTGTTAAGCAGGTGCCCCTGGTTAGGAGATAAATATTTATACACGTGACCTGTGATAGATTACTCCCACGTGATCTGTCCTACCTACCGGCCAAACCCTTGTTTCGCCATATTGAAAATTTGACAGCCAACACTTATCACGATCAAAATTGTAAGATATCACAACAACACCACAAAAATAGTTTGACAACTAGAATATTCATTTACAGATATAGAACAGAACACAAAATTCCAATAACTTTACTTACCGTTGTCAAATAGGCCACTTGGATTCAGTGCCAAATGTAGAGAATTGTTGGAAATCGGGGGTGGCGACATCTGAAACGAGTCCGAAAATAGACTCATGTCCAGTGTGTCCAGCAAGTCCAGCCCCGATGTCCAACATGTCGACGAGCTCGTCGACGCTTCTTGGGACGAAGCAGCCATGCTCGGCGATGTTGATGCCAATCGTTTGTTCAAACATTTTGCTAAATTCTGCCGTATTATTGGGTCCCCGTGAGAGTGAATTGTTACGATTTGTCGTAACTTTTCGATCTTGGATTTAATGTTCCAAGTGTCTACCTTCCCTCGGTCTCTCCCTTGGCTTCGTGCGAGCTCAGTGGGTAGAGTCGGTTTCTTCGTCACTCTTTCCTTTCTGACGGCGCCGGGCTTGGCCGGGACTAAAAAATGAAAGAAAAGAATATAAAACAGACGTTTCATGGTTTTGTGAGGATATTTCTTAAATAAGTGTTTAAGGGGTATCATTTTGGGACTATTCATGATCTTCATCGTGAGATTTACACCACAATTACCTGGCTTGTGTTTCTGCGTTCTTCTTCCTTGCCTACATTCGTATCACTGTCGTTTCTTACACCGGCACGGCTTCTTATGGTGCAATCCTTGATACTATTTTTAAAAATGACGACTTCCGGTAAGTTCACCGACCAATCAGAGAATCAGGAATGGACATGCTGAGATAAATATAAACATTACGATGTAATTCCCCGAAATAGAAAACTAAGCTTTCGGGATTACTCGGATATTTACATATCAATAAAAAAAAACCACAACATGTATCCGAATAAACCAATGGCTCTTCCGAGAAGCAACCCACACCTTTGGTTTTCCTACATTGAACACAATATCCAACTCTTTATTAAAATGTGTATTTTTATTTAAAATTTCAAAAGGAGAGAAAAAAACCTAGCTAGTTCTAGTATAAGATTTGAAACAAGACAAGTTTATCAGGTCATTATAATAACAAAAATATATATGAAATAAAAAAAACTTCCCGGTTGTGTCATTTAAACGGAAGAGCTGGGTGCTACGGGTGACCCTAACTAAATAATATACCCGTGTGCAAAAGTTAAATGCTGACGTATGTTTACAAACAGTAGAGTTGATCCGTGTCTGTATTGACATATTTATATATATATACGTTTATAGGTATATATATGTCAATGGTAGTATATGCCTACTGACGTCTTATCGTTTTAGAACCCATGCAAGTTGGGCGTAAAAACTAATGTACAGTCGCCATATATCTTGTGCAGACCACAATCTGACAAAGGTTGACATTTTTTAATGAACAACATAATATACTTATTTGTTTATATAATATTATTTACGATGGGGACATTTTCATGACTTGATTTTTTTTACATAAAATGTCTAACTTTCAAAGTTAAAATATCTCATCTTTGATAAATCTTTCTGCATCGACAGACACTTATTGAAATGAATTATCTTGACAATGTGCTAATTGCTAATTGTTTTTTTTCCTGAAGACTACGTTTAAAATATTACTATGTTTACAAATACATTTTGAATGGTTCGTCAAACGAATATTTAAAAAGTGTCATCAAGCTGAACGTGCAGTAATTAATTAGTCACGTAAAGTCACAGTAAGTGCGCTTTATCTACTTACCCTGTTGGCGATTCTACCACCTTGTACATTTGTATTATCGATCCCCACCCAGCATGAAATATAAAACAACCCCAGAGGCTCATTTCGTACCCTGCTCTGGAGCTGTTGTCTCTTGGATACCAATTCTGATCGCAGCATCCGAGACGATTTGAAGACGCTTCAGTTTGGCTGTGACATTGAATACAAGTTTGGAGTTGTGTGTATACAATCTGTTTTATATACTACTGGCATGGCCTAATACAATGCTACACGTCAGTATTTAACTGGAATGTTCCTTACAACAGGATCCTGGGAGGTGGAATTTTCTGGAATATATTTCTACCAATACAGCAAAAACCATCCATGTGAAACATTTATGGGTGATTAACTATTCTAGAGTGTTCCAGCACCTGTACTAACTGTTCAGGTCGAGATGATGCTAGTGTGCAGCCGATAGAGCATAACAGTTTTGACTTTAATTGTGGATTTATTGCACCATTTAAATCATATTGCTTCGAAATGTAACAAAACTGTTAATATATAGTTCTTCAAATTGACAAGATGTTAGTCAGCAACTATACTCAACAAATATTGGGGGGGTTTCCTGGCGGTAAAGCTGTGTCGTTATACACAGGTTTTATACAGGAGTACTGTTAAACACAGGTCTTACATAGAGCGGTATAACTGTACTATAACGGTACAACTATACCACTCTGAATAAAACATGCCTCTTACTGTACAACTAAACCAATCTGTATACAACCTGTTTTATACAGATTGGTTTAGTTGTACAGTAAGAGACATGTTTTATACAGAACGGTATAGTTTTGCTGTTATAGACAGGTTTTATACAGATTGGTTTAGTTGTACAGTAAGAGACATGTTTTATTCAGAGTGGTATAGTTGTACCGTTATAGACAGGTTTTTCATGGAGCTGTATAGAGGTATTGCTTGTATTCCCTTTAGGGAGGTTCAGCATCTTTGGTTGTCCTTTATACACAGGTGTCTGTATTGAACGGGATGGCCTCTGGTACTTACCTATACAATATCCGTTTGAGATACAGTTTAGAGTCACTTCTTTATTTGCATCTGATTAGTGGAAATGATTACAAGATGTTACTTGTATAGTGTACCCACCTACACGATCAATGTTACCAGTTAACCATACCGGTATACTAGCTAAAGTATAGATTTACTGTAATTGATTGTCATATCTTCTGTCGGTGAAGGTCAGGGTTATATTTTCAGAATTCGGGTCACACACGTTCTGTGCTAGGCTAGAGCCGACAATAGTATTCCGTGCTGATGCAATATCTCGAAATAGTAACGACACCCGGCCAACTGAGCATGACCAGGTATGCGGTGGTGAAATACAGGAAGTCGTGTGTAAATTTACTGTTTATTACGATGACGAAATACCTGTACTTTGTTATGATACTCGGCTTCACCTAATATCACCTCTGAAACTTATAATATATTCTTGTATTTGAAATTTAAATGATCTCATCAATTATTTGTGTGACATTAATATGGGAAGAGGGCGCGGGGACGAGAAGGAGTGGGTTTGTGGTGAATTGTATTGATATATTAGGCCAAGAGCTCTTTTGTTTAAAGTATGTTAAGCTTCTTGTCAACTTCACGCAAAAAACTTTTTCTCGAGTTTATTTTCAGACGTATTAAGATTCACAATAAACAACATAATTGGATATTCAAAACAATCGCCAAAAGACTTGTCTTCGAAGGAAGTAGTTGTATTTCGGGTATTTCTCGATAATACTATTTTGAACATTTTGATTTTCACTCGTTAAACAAACCAGACTTTGTATATCCTGGTTCTGTTGTTTTAACCTGGTTGGCTTAAAAGGTCATCAACGCGACTAAACTAGAAACAATGTATTATAAATTAAAATAAGAAGTATCTGATAATTTACAATCATATTTGCGTTTCTGTCTTATATGAATTACTTTGAAGATCAACATATGTAATTCTAGATCTGAATTCCAATGTACAAGACCGGGAACAAAATGTGCTATGTTCTCGTTAAGCTGTCAATGCATTGAAAAACTGGCAAAAGAAAACGATGATATCAAAAATAAAACTTCACAATAGAGTTTTAATAGCTCACAGACTTTAAGTATTGATTGAATAATTTATAAGATAATGCAACAGACACAACTACATTACGTGTTACATGTATTCTAAGTATTTGGTACCTTGGGGTTTTTTTTCATTTAAGAGAAAACTAATTTCATTTGTGAACGTATAGTATAAAATATCAAACACACTTGCCATAGCCACATTGGCCCTCCCAACTATACAAGCTCGCGTAAATCATGCAGTCAATACAAAGAATTTGTCAGCAGTTTGCATATCTATGTAAACTTAAACCTGTATAATCAGAAAACCTGTATAAGTCAGAACTATAACGAGGTTCCATTTTATAATTTCTATGTAAACTTAACCTGTGTAATAAGAAAACCTGTATAAATCATAACTATAACAAGGTTCCACTATATTCATTTCTATGTAAAGTTGTCCTGTGAGACCAGAAAACCTGTATAAATCAGAACTATAACAAGGTTCCACTTTATACATTTCGATGTAAACTTAACCGGTGTAATCAGAAAACCTGTATAAATCAGTACTATTATAGACAGGTTTTATACAGACACGTAAAGTTGTAACGATATAAACAGGTTGATACAGAGAGGTATAGTTGTAACGTTATAGACAGGCTTGATACAGAGTTGTATATAGTTGTAACGTTATAGACAGGCTTGATACAGAGTTGGATATAGTTGTAACGTTATAGACAGGCTTGATACAGAGGTGTATATAGTTGTAACGTTATAGACAGGCTTGATACAGAGTTGGATATAGTTGTAACGTTATAGACAGGCTTGATACAGAGTTCTATATAGTTGTAACGTTATAGACAGGTTGATACAGAGTTGTATATAGGTGTAACGTTATAGACAGGTTTTATACAGACACGTATAGTTGTAACGTTATAGACAGGCTTGATACAGAGTTGGATATAGTTGTAACGTTATAGACAGGCTTGATACAGAGAGGTATAGTTGTAACGTTATAGACAGGTTGATACAGAATTGTATATAGTTGTAACGTTATATACAGGTTTTATACAGACGCGTATAGTTGTAACGTTATAGACAGGCTTGATACAGAGTTGGATATAGTTGTAACGTTATAGACAGGCTTGATACAGAGTTGTGTATAGTTGTACCGTTATAGACAGGTTGATACAGAGCTGTATATAGTTGTAACGTTATAGACAGGCTTGATACAGAGTTGTGTATAGTTGTACCGTTATAGACAGGTTGATACAGAGGTGTATATAGTTGTAACGTTATAGACAGGCTTGATACAGAGTTGTTTATAGTTGTAACGTTATAGACAGGCTTGATACAGAGTTGGATATAGTTGTACCGTTATAGACAGGTTGATACAGAGCTGTATATAGTTGTAACGTTATAGACAGGCTTGATTCAGAGTTGTATATAGTTGTAACGTTATAGACAGGTTTTATACAGAGAGGTATATAGTTGTAACGTTATAGACAGGCTTGATACAGAGTTGTATATAGTTGTAACGTTATAGACAGGTTGATACAGAGCGGTATAGTTGTAACGTTATAGACAGGCTTGATACAGAGATGTATATAGTTGTAACGTTATAGACAGGTTGATACAGAGAGGTACAGTTGTAACGTTATAGACAGGCTTGATACAGAGTTGTTTATAGTTGTAACGTTATAGACAGGTTGATACAGAGAGGTATAGTTGTAACGTTATAGACAGGGTGATACAGAGTTGTATATAGTTGTAACGTTATAGACAGGTTGATACAGAGAGGTATAGTTGTAACGTTATAGACAGGCTTGATACAGACACATAAAGTTGTACCGTAATAAACAGGTTGATACAGAGAGGTATAGTTGAACCGTTATAGACAGGTTTTATACAGAGTTGTATAGTTGTACCGTTATAGACAG